AAAATTTTAAACCCCACAGCAACGTTTTGGGGTTAAAAATTTCCCCCAAATGGGAGGGCCAGGCCCCCAAATGGGCCGAAAGTACCCTGGCCAGTTTTTTTTTTTTTTCCGGCCCCCATGTGGGAAAAATCCCCCATCCAATCGGGGAAGTGGGGTTTGGTTTTTGGGGAAGGGAGTATTTGGGTTTTGGGTCCCCCCCCCATTTTCTTTTTTTTCGAAATTTTTAGTTCCGGGGGAAGGGGGTCCCAAATAGGTCCCCCCCCCCGTTGGTCCCCGGGGCCCCCCCCCCCCCCCCAACCAACCAGGTTATTCTTCCGGAGGGCGCCCACAACATAGTTGCGCTCCCCCCCTTCGAGGGCGTTTCGGAGGCGCGAACGGAGCGTTTCACCTTCCTCGACACCACAGGCTCCGGGAGACCTGTGGTGATCATGAAGATGAAGAACGTCGTTAAGGAACACAACGTCATGTTGAAGGTGAGACGCGTTGCTGAGGCGCGCTACCCGCGATGGTGGGTGTTCAGTGAGAGAGGGCGGTCGCGATGAAGGCATTTCTTCTGTTTACCAGGCGCCTCGTAACTATGTTGCACAGTCATTGCAAAGGCCATGTCTGGAAGGGATGGATGTGGTGTTTGTGGTGTTCGTGCACGGGCGACTTGAGGTTTTGTCATGCTCACGATGATCGGGAGTTTGGTCAGTCAGCACAAGAAAGTGTACGTATGGGTGTGTAGGGTTTCTGATGCGCGTGAGAGTTTTCACGAGAATAACGCGGACACCAGACCCAGCCTACATTGTAGCAGATTTGACAGGCTCCGTTCCCGCGTCGAAAAAAACCTGTGTTTCGTTTGGCATGGTGATCTTGAAACTCAGACTACTGTATAATCCTGTAGCCAGCATGACGGCAGCCAGGCATGTCAACAGCACCCCCCCGTGTCCTCTGGTCCACCTCAAAAGGGATCCGTAGCCAGTGGTCAACTGGTTTCGGGCATGGTACGAATGAGCACCCCTCCCTCCGCCCCCACCGCCCGATCAACAAGGTGACCTACGACTTCAACCGAGCAAGAATGATGATGGAACCTCTTCTGCTCGCCGGCTTCTTTTTGGCATGCTTCCTGGCGGCAATGGCGGCGGGTCGTGTTGACATGCGCATACGCAGGGGGGGGGCAGACGCAGCACCAACAAAGGGATAGAGGCCTAGAACAAACCATTTGACGGCGTTGGTGTGAGCGTAGGTTGCATCAAGCGAAGGTTTCATCAGCCGTGTCTCTGGGGGGTGGTTTCCACAGGAAGCGCCGACGGCGAACCTGGCGCGCGAGCATACTTGCGCTGCTGTTTGTATATTCTCAGCGATGTGACAGCAAAGAACAGGGTTCGAACTGCCTAAGTAAAGCTTCGTGGCGGGTGCTGTCGTCGTTGTCGGCTGGGATCGCGGTGTCCGGCTGGTTGTCTCTTGTGTGTTTTCGTTGTTGTGGGGTGTTCGGCGAATCCCCTGCGATATTGTGGTAGCCCAATAGGTGTGATGTCCGCCGTTATGCCTAACGTGAACGACGTGATCGGTGATCCTTTTCGGCTAGCAGGCGCGGTGGGGGTTTGGTTCTAGAAAAACGGGTTGGTTCATGTTGTGGTGGAAATATGATGTACCTGTTCGATCAGACCTTGCCTAATTTAATCGCGCGCACGGCGAGAGCGATGTGGATGCGTACCGTTTAGGGGGCATTGTGACGTGTTCACGCCACACGAATGGCACCCTTGGGACGCAGCAGAGCCAGGAGAGCAATCTAGTGTTTGCAGACAAATTGTTGGTGAATGCCGAGCGCCCGCGGTTTCTCAAAGTGGCCGTCTGTCCTCTACTTGCTATCGATGAAAACATAAACTAATTTTATTTTTATTAGTACGACATCCGAACACTCTTCGCATTGAAAACGGAGGCATACACCACAGAGAAAATATTCTGCGACCCCGGAGCGCAAGGCCGTACTTGTAGAGCTGACAGTGGATATGTCGTCCCGAAAACTATACGTGAGACGCTTTCCTTCCAAACTGCCGGTCTCGAGACGCGGCGTTCCACTTGAGGATTTTCTACGCCGTTGTTGCGCCCCCCCCCGTGTTTTGCGCACATGCGAAAACGAAATCGGTCGCTCTTGCTATGTATCTGCAACCTAAAACCCATGTGATTCCGAGAAGAGGGCGACGCGCCACTTCTAGGTCTCATTTAGCCCCAGGAGAATGAATCCTGTTCCTTCTATAATTGAAACGGTTGTGAGTCTTGTGAGCTCGGAAAAATCCTACCAGTGTGTTTATCTGATATTTTTGGAGATATTCGGTATCGACTGGTGCCCAGAAAAGATGTGTCCAACACAAAGAGAAATTCGGGAAAAACGGACGACCCCAAAAAAACCATTTCGACACACTTGTTTGTTGTGCAGGATGTTCGCTGTTCGAACCATGACGGACAGTCATTCAGCGACGTTCAACAGAAGAAGCAGGCGCGCCGGCACAACATCGAAAGCAAACAAAATCTGCTGATGCCTCCATCACATATAACCCAAGCCAACATAAAGCGGTGGGTGAGACATGAAAAGCTTGTCATGCCGTCCGTGGTGCTCGTCTACGGGAGTCGGGAACAAAGCAAGATGTTTGAAAAATTAACAAGAAGAGCGAAAAAAAACTATGAAGAAAAATTAAGTGGTGCCTCCAACCGGGATCGAACCAGTGACCTTGGCAACTTCAGTGCCACGCTCTCCCAGCTGAGCTATAGAGGCTTCCATGACTATATTCGAATTCCTTTGTATTTGAATATAATGAAAGTGATTCCGTCTCATTCGAGCTCCCATTGATGACCAACCACTCCTTTTTTGAACAACGGAGGCGATCCCACGTTGATGAGTACAGGTCTTGGGCCTTGGACTAAAAGAGATAACGTAACTTGTAGTTGTAGTTGAGTTGCGCTCAGAGAATAACCACCGAAGCGCAGCCAGAAACGGGACATCATGACCGTCCCTGCTGCTCTCACCCAACGGCCACTCAGTCACAGTCAAGCGAGACTTTCGTCCAACCTGGTGTCCAACCTCTACCTGTGGGTTCGTGCCTCTCATATTCTATCAGACATGTCACCACCATGATCCGAGCGCTGACCGTTCTTGTGTGGGTAGACAGAGATAACTCGGTCGCTCTGCTATGTGCACCACTGCTGGACGTCGGGAGCGGACAGGCCGAGGCAGCGAACGTACGTGTGCGCACTCACACAGCTACTACTCTGTAGTTGTGCGGCCGAGAGAGGATATAATGGTGTGGTGTATACAATCATGGATGGTCCACAGCAGTCTACATTCAGATACACATCACAGGGCACGAATGATAAGGACATGCAGCCTCTATAGCTCAGCTGGGAGAGCGTGGCACTGAAGTTGCCAAGGTCACTGGTTCGATCCCGGTTGGAGGCACACTCTCTTTTTATTTTTTGTTCGTCATACAGCGGGACTGCTCAAAACAATTTTATGGAAACGCGTCTCACCGTATTCCGGGGGTTGTCTCTATCTATCCCCGCGTGTAGCAACGAACATACCCACACCCACCTGCACCCATCGGTCTCTCGGTCGCTTGTCGTGAATTCATGCATGCCTCCACCTCTAGGATAGGTTGGCGAGCCCGTCGCGGCATGCCGCCAGCCGTCCGGATGCTGGCACGAGAGCAGGCGCTGTTTTTTCGAACCTTCCAATCAAGAGGAGGAGGAGGAGGAGGACCACCACCATCATCATCATCTTCTCGGGTGGAAGCAGCACAACACCTTTGCCGAACGATTCCTCGCGCCGAACTTCTCCCAAAGCCGTCGGGTAGAGCCGACGTCCCATCGGAAGTGAGGAAGCGCCGGGCGAGTTGTTGTGACAGAAGTCCGACAATGGCGGCTGCAGGGTACACGGTATGGCATCATCATCACTGCCCCTGTCCCGCTCCAGGCCGAGGCACTCGTGGGTGAGGTCTTGAACTGTCCACGCTGAGCCGTTGTGAGGTTTTAGACCACAAGGATTGCGCAGTTGTATCTTGAATTCGGCCGTACGGGTGCAAGGCATGCATGCTGAAGACTTCGGTGCAGGTGTAGGTATGCACAGCAGCGCTGCACCTTGCAGGACTGCTGTACTGTAACGAAAGTAACACAATATATTTAGGGGATTCAACGAGACGCGCGAGGAACAGCATGTTTGAAATTCAAAATGTAGATTGACCTATAGTTCAAAAACCAACAAGCTGTCGATCGACACTGCCTCGCGTTCCCTGTGAAGGCCACATTTTATTACACGCGACATGACGGAGGGCTTCTCCCCGATATTTTCGTCCTTGACCCAGTAGAGAACTACAGGGGATGAAAATGTATCTACCTTTGCTGATGCTTTTGTTCCTAGCACCAGCTGGTATCACTGGAATGGTGCAGTGTATAGGCTTGAACAGACTCAGAATAAGCCCAGGTTCCAGCCGGTTTCCCTCCACTCACTGAAAATACTTCACAACCCTCTCGACGGCATATAGTCTATATCTCGAATCTCGAACGGGTAGGTGTATATTTTCAAAAAAGAGTACGAGGGTGTGGCGCGGTGGCAATAAGCTCGTGCAGTGTTTTCACTTGTTTTTTCAAAGCACGAGGACAATGCCACAATCTGCTATACCACCGTACTTGCACTTTCTCCATCGATGCTATGCAGGCCGTATGTACTGCAAGCCCGGGCGTGTGCCCCACAGCAGTGTACTGTAGCACAGCATCCTAGTTAAAGCTAGCAGCTACCATCTTCCAGTTTTTGCCAGGAACGGGCGATCAAACACGTTCAACTCCTTATTCCCCTACCACTTCTTTCCTCAAAGCCCTAATATGTGCGCAGTGCGACTTGCCCCTGTGTTTTCGCTCCTTGATTCCCTTCCATTCCAACGACATCGTCTGTTTCCCAGTCGACGCATACCATTGCCACTGCGACTTTAGGACGGCCGCTTCTTCTGGTCCTATCCATGGCAAGTATTGCTGTCACAGAATGTCATTCTAATACGTACATGCTATCGTGGTGCTGTTGTGCCAGACACTCCGGCGAGCACCACATGTCCTCTGTCGCCACTGATGGGCAAAGGAAGGGATACGCTTCCGGTGTCCGCCACGACGTCACAGCGCAGTCGTCACCACCGCCACCATCTCCATCGGCATCACTGCAGGCGATTCTTGGAATATCGGACACACAGGCCGAGATCATAAGGAGCTCGGGACAAACCACCAAGACAGGTTTCGATAACCTCATTTCCGTCAGCGATGGGGGCGACAGGCCAGGTACTAACGTAAGCTTTACAAAGTCGTCGCCGCCCCCTTCTTCCTGCTTCCCCAGATTCCTGCTCCACGAACTCCACGCGGCTCCGGAAGATGTAAAATCTCTCGTGCTTCGAAGGCCCGTCGTTCTTGGTTGGTCAGCGGTGGCTGCGGGTAAGGTTTCGCGATGGCTCCAGGATTGTTTGGGGATGAACCAATCCGAGGTTGCGCGGTTGCTTCTGAGGCACCCAGAAGCGGGAACGAAAAGCGTCGAGAATACCGTGGAGCCCAAGGTGGAGTGGCTACGCACAAATCTCAACTTTGACGCAGCTGACGACGGTGGTGTGGTCAAACTGCTCTTACATGCACCGCAGATCTTGAATCTGAGCGTTGAGAGGTCTTTGGATCCTATGCTGCGGTGGCTGAAGGAACGTTTGGGGGTTTCGTGTGAAGAGGCGGCCAAGATCGCGCGCGAGAATCCGACCCTTTTCTGGCTCAGCGTGAACAACAACCTCGAGCCCACTCTGAGGTGGCTGCTTAAGCGGCTAGACATCAAGGACGAGGGAATCGTCCTCGCGATGGTGGCTGCCGCTCCGAAGATCCTCTCCTTGAACACCCGCACCGGGATAGAGCCCAAGCTGGCTTGGCTGAGGGATAGCCTTGGCTTGAATCCCCAGGACGTCTGCGAGATCATCCGCAGGGAGCCGACCATCCTCTACAAGAGCGTCGACGACAACTTGAAACCAAAGCTGACCTGGTTGAAGAAGAACCTACATCTCGACGATCAGGCGGCTCGGGAGATGTTTGTTGCCTTCCCAAGGATGGCGGGGTCGAGCCTCGCCGGGAACCTTAAGCTCAAGGTCCCGTGGCTGCAGAAGTCGCTTGGTTTAGACTCAGGAGAAGCGGTAGTCTTAGTAAAGCGAGCCCCGGTGCTCCTGCAGTACAGCATCGAGGAGAACCTGGAACCGACGGTTTCATTTTTTCGGGCGGAAATGGGCGCCTCCATGGAGGAGCTAAGAGGTTCTGTGCAGCGGAACCCAAAGATTCTGGCGTACAGCTTGGACGGGCGGCTGCGACCCCGCGTGGCGGCCATGCGAAGAAGAGGGATCCAGCCGATTTTTTCAAAACACCTGAACCCCATTATCCGTTGGCCCGATTCCAAGTTCCAAGGATTTTTAGAAGGCTTCGGGAGTTGATCTCGTGCCCAGGAAAATGACATGTAGACCTTATTTTGCACGCAAATGCCTTGATTTGTGCTCTGTGCATTTGTTGCCGAAACCCCCTTTCACATGTTTCAGGAAGCGTTCAACCACCTACATCTTTGTTTTGCTCAAGAGTACCAATAGTTGAAATTTCGTGGCCAAGTGTCCCCACGAGGAAGGGCGGGCATTCCCTGGCAGCTGGGTGTGTCTTGAAACCTATCAAAGAGTGTTCAAGACATCCGCGTCAGTTGGAGCCGTACGCATGTTCTCGGGTGCTGAGCAGACATCTGAACGGTTTGTAGTTTGAAAGTCGACAACAACTACACCATCGTTCCACAGGCAGTGCCGGATATCCTCTGAAGAGCATATTGATCGCCATTTGTTGGGTTGTCCCATGTGGAGAGTCGGTACATTTTTTTTAGTGTATGCCTAGTTGACTCCTAAACATGTGGCTAAGTAGGGAGCCTTTTGTAACCTCTTTCGACATGAACCTGACACTGCTGTGGTGCAGAAAGTCGCAGTTTGGACTATCGGTACTTCCAGCAATGGTGTTATGCCCGCGTCCGGCTCTACAGCGGCCCCGTCGCATGTTGCAAGACCTCCTGCTGACGTCAGTGCAATCGACGGTGTGAGGGACACGAGCGGAAGGCGTGTCCGTCGCGAAACGAGACGTATATTGACAAGCATCCCTTTTCCCCAGAAACAAGGGATTGCCACCGTTCAGTCCAGCGCCCCACGCAAACTCAAGACGAGTACCGAGAATGGTGTGCAGGGGTGCAAATGTCTACACGCCGAAAAATCGCTGGCATTCTAGCTTGTTCGACGGCGGTCCATCGTAAATGGTACCTTCGATTCCTTGTCTTTTCAACATATCTGGCTCGTAAGCACTTCTGTACAATTTCCAACGAATTTCTCGGTAAACGGAAGCACGTCCCAACAATATTTCCATATCTGAACCTTTTGACGAAGAGTGTGAACGGGTGCAAGTACAGAAAAACTTGTCTGTCAGACGAAGCACACCTACAAAATAGAGCACCACACACCTTGCGTGTCCTGTGAACAAAGAATTCAAAATTGGCCGACGACACAACTTTACGTCAGCATCTCAGACAGCAGAAACAGAGTTAATCGCAATCACCCCGATTTCGGGCTCCGGCTTTCTCAGCATTTGCGCTCGTGCTGGCATTTGCGATTTTCGTCCTATCCGCGAGCGCACTTCTTTCGGTGAGGTATTGGTCATACTCGTCGATCGAGGCGCGCTCTTCGTCTAAAAAGCTGTCCACCTGATGAGTCAACAACACAGCGAAAGAGGAGCAAAAGGCCCCATGGAAACGTGAATGGTACATCATGGAGAGCAGCTGATTCACGCACTCAACGTGTTGTACAGCCCCGCGTGGAAGCGAAAGGGAGCAATCCTGTTGACAAGTATTGGGGGCCAAAACCTGCAGGTACTGTCCAGCCCACATACTAGGGTTAGGGATTGGATTTGAGACAGGGTACACATCAGCAACGGCCGGGAGCGGGGATGCAAACAGAGTGCACCCATTGATCGAGTTCCGATGACATACAAGCGCAGCTACCACATCCATGCTCGAAAAGTAACAGGCTAGACCCCTGCGATCACCACCCAACCTGTAGCTGTACGTCGAGGCGTAAAAGGAATAACACGAACGCGGGAAATTTGCGATTCGAGGCCAGGGTAGCTGGGAAGATTGAGGGTTCGGCGATGCTGTGGCATCTCTAGAAGGACATATATAGAAAGAGTCGTTTCTAGATCTGATTCGTGTTGAAACTGTGGGAGGAAGCAAAAGGTGCATCCTTACGGTTAGATGTATTGCTGGCAGCCCGCATGAATCCAGACGCTGAGGCACGTGTGCGAGCGTTTCGTTGCATGCACCAGTGTAAGCAGGTAACCTCCACTTACCGCTCCCCGCAGGCCTGGATGTGTGCAGTAGTGGCAGCTGTTCACGATGGCCGGGTCGAAGCCTCTCAGGAACTTGAAATCGCCACCGCCTGCTCCCGGCTCCATAACATCGAGTCCGTTCTCGATGCAGAACTGGTCACACATGTAAAATATCAAAGATAACGGTAGGGGGACAGGAGCGTCACACGCTTGATTCAATACTCCGAGCATGTGCGGGCGCCTGCGAAATACAGGCCCATCTTTCGTGCAAACTCCCAGTCGCTGCCGGCCGGCTCAGGCCCCACCACAGCCAAGCTCTTCCTCCACGATAGGAGCCATGATGAGGCATGGGCGAGAAGGGTTTTCTGGCTTCCAGCGCATCAATGAGGCCAGTTGAAGCGCAGCAAGGCACTGCCTAGCCGCAGCGAAACACTGGGAGGCTTTGCAGCAGAAAGTAAACGTTCACCTCGATCGCCTTGTAGTCTGTTGACCGGCGGGCAGTACCGAAATCGTACGAGAAAGCCCGGTTCCGGCAGCAGCAACCGGCAGGAGCAGCAGCGTCAACAGCAAGCAGTCGCGTCCATTGGCAGGTCAGGACAAACCCTCGTTGAGCAACCATTTGCAGCAGTGCTACTGCTGTCACCGTCTAACCAGACATCTAAACGGATGGGTGCCTGGTGCAAGGACACCGTTCGCTAAGGAACGAGCGTACATCACCAACAACGAGAACGAGATGAAACCACTAGGTGTATCATCACAGCCGGGAAAACGCTCATAGCGACTTACCTGCCTTTGTGAGAAAAAAACGCGCGTGGTGGGCAGGAAACACTTAAAACAAAAAAACTCCCTCGCGAGAAAGGTTTCCACTAAATGAAACACAGAGTGCCTGGAATCGTTTTCTTCTTCCAGACGCGCAGCCAGATTAGGCTTTTCGAACGTCGTGGGAACTGCAGAGAGCCCCGGTTGCGCTTGACCCTAAAAAATAACTATGGAGAACTTTCCTGCCCTAGTGTGCCGCAGGTACCTACTCACAGCAAGCCTCGAAGTGCAGGTTCTTGACTGTCTCGAAAGCTCCCCAGTAGCGCCCGTAGAACCGACCGGCCTTAACGACGTTGAATGTCCCAGCTACAACCTGTGACAACACAATAAGTGTACGTAATGAGAGCGATCAAGAGAGTGGGCCACGAAGGTCTGCCACAACTCCAACTATTACAATAACGACTGGCAAGACATGTGTTCTGGTCACGGACGCATGTTGTGCCAGCAGGAGCAGTGAAGTGATACCAGGCGGTGGCACATCTCGTTGGTTATAAAATGATCGTTACCAAACTGCCACATCCCCTCACCTTCCCGTTCTTTTCAGCAAGGATAAGAACGATGTTCCTCTTGAAGGACTGCGCTAGCTCCTTGAACAAGCCGATGTTCAGGTACAGCCGCCCGTACATCATCTGCTCAAGACCACCAAGTCGCGAAAGGCGTGTTCGCAAGCCACAATTGTTCGGACGGTACGCACACACGTTCGAGCGTGTAAAAAGGAATTATTTTGAACTAAGGGAACCTGCGACAGCGAGACAGGACCAACAGGTAAAGTCACGCCGCCAACACTGTCACCGAAATCGCTGCCCATGGGCTGCCTACGATGGGTAGCCCATGGTGGCTGAGCAGCGAGAGTAAGAAAACCTCAACATACAGCGTCACTCCCTTTTATATCTTAATGTGTTGGCGATGCAGAGCAAGCACAACATATACCAGATTTTGTCCCTGGAAATTGTGTAGATTCGAACAACAGACTGCGATCTCCAATGATTTGAGCGGGACACAAATATTCGTCGGAAAGTCCCCGCCGAGAGAATTCGAATGGGCCTGTCCAAGGTTTGGGGAACGTGCTGTGCAAGTTCGGACCTACTTGCAGAAAATGTGTAAATCCACCAATTCGTACATGGTCAAAACGAACTGCGTGGATAGGCTCGGGCATTTCATGTACGGGGCACTTTCGCACGCCCGGTACTACTTGCGCACCGGTCACTCCATCTCACCTAAAACAAACCGACGTAGATACGTCTCCCTTCCGAATATCTATCCGTAGCTTCCATATACACAACTGAAATTTGATTATCCTCCTCTGCCGGAGCAAGAATTCATGCGTTGCCTACATTATCGCAGTCTTGTAAAGGACTTTCATTGCAGCAGGTGTATTCCTTGGATATACTCCTGTCGTATTTCCCACGATTACAGCAGGAAAGGGTTCAAGTCAGTTTTCCGCGGGACGTCAGCCTTGCTCCTGTCAGAAGAGTTAACAGGATCCGCAGTCTACGCAGGTTTTCCAAGTAAGCAAACATACTGGATAAAGTGTAGAATCGGCTGGTTGGCGTTGGCGTTAGGGTTACGGTTAGGGTCTGCGTGCCCCGTCCTTGTTTTTTCTTTTGCAACGATCCTAATTTGTTTCCGTCGGCAGACCAACAGGATTCGACAAACCTTGTCGATGGTCGACTTATAGATGAAGAAGGCCGTTTCCATCATGTTGTCAGTGATGTCATCCCCCCGGTAAGCGGTTACGCTGACTCCCGCATCTTCGTAGACGCTCCGTCGCTCTCGTCGAATCTGGTAGCGGCGAGGACACAGCATATTAACATACATCCGTGGGCACACACAACGATGTCCATACGCAGCAGTGAGCACGAAACGAAATCCAGGTTAGAGTACCTGAGCGGTGCGCATGGGGTCTATTGCCTGTTAGAACACGAAGAACAGAGAGCAGTACCGGGAATGCGTCGTTGGGGATAAAATAGAGACCGGCATCGAAGAAGAATCGTGCAACACGAGGGGCCAGCCAAGGTAAGGGAAGGGTCTGCGCTACGGCGCCGTGCTACGAAACCGAACACGCGTCTGCCATATCTCAGAGGATACCAAGGAGGTCTACCAAATCACAAGACAATCTCTAAATGCCGAACACGTGGCAATCCAGGGTTAGCACCAACCTGAGCAGGACCGCATGCGCTATCATAGTGGCCAAAGAAAAAATGAGTCGGGAAAATTATCGAAGGAGCAACTTCGACTACAAATCTCCTGCAGTCTCCTGCAGGCATGCGCGGTTCAAATACTCCCCATGGCAATGTGTGTTTTGCATGAGGCTACCTTCGATACAGCAGAGAACCACTTCGGGGCTGTCCCCGACAGATACTCGTACGATTGTCTTTCTCTCTCTCTATCCCGCCAGCATATACCCGCCTGGCGTAATACCTTTATCACGAGAGGCAAGGCAATCGAAAATATACCACAGAATGAGCTTGCCTTTATTCTCCGCTTGGATGCGAAATTCCCAAGATAGCTGTCAAAATCGGCGTATTTCTTCGGACTTGTGCCGTTGTCCCCTTCTTGTGCCGCAGTCACAGTCTGCTGAGCTATCTCAGACTGGGTTGCAGATGACGGGCCCAGGACTACGGTGGATTCCGCGGCCGTCATTTTTCCGGCCACACCACGGTTGTTGTCGCCATTGTTGGCATTGTCATCGGACTTTCGGTCCTGATTTCTCCAGTGATACTGAAGACCTTTCCGATGCGAGAACCCGGAGCTTGTGAATGCCTCTACCTGAAACGACCAAACCCAGACGGTTGCAAAGCAAACAAAATATTTACACATGTTACGTGGCCTGAACAATAGGCAAACGTCAATTGCTGTCATCTCATAACCAATGTTTCTAACCCTATCATTCAAACGCTTGGTCTACGCGCGCAGAAGGTTTTCCAATGCTCATAGGATTCTCATTGGCCGGGCACGTCTCTCACTATTGGTATGTCACACCGAACCGCTACCATAGAAACATTATCCAAGGCGCGAAAGTAGTGACCACCATTATACATGCGAACACGATATCGCCGTCACCTCGGGCAAACGACGTTGCATCACCCAAGGGAGCCTACGCGTGATATAATCGGGCAGCGTAGCACACAGTAGATGAGCTTCCCGAATCTCGCCGTGTTCAATAGTTCACTCAATTTACGTTTCAACCGTGTCAGACATAATCACACGTGGCAACTTGTCATCGCCACCATCGCTCTTGAAGTGAGATTGGCGCTACTTCCAGTGCGGCGTACGCGTCATAGCAACGTAAACCATACGAAAGCAGCACCAACAACGACCAAGAACGTGGCATACTCACCGTCTACCAAACATTTTCCGAAGGCGGGAGACCTCCTTGTGCAGACCAACGCCTTACTGTTTTACCCCACGACCCGATTACATCAGTAAGCACAACATTTTACTACTATAAAGGCTGGTGTCGTCGAGTGCTGGGAAATACGGTTCTTTCGCTCACCTCTTCCTCCGTGCAGAAATTGACATGCACAGAGCTGATGTTGTTGTCGTGCGCCAGCTTTCTGAAGCACACGCGCCGCACACACACATACATGAGAGAACGGGCAAGGTGACCTGGACGCCAAGCATGATGGATGGAGACAACAACATATCAAAACAAACATTTGTTTTTCGCTTCAATCGCCTCAAGGCTTGAATTCAAAAGTGATGTGCGGAACTGTCTCTTCTCGCACGCCCTTTTCTCAGTCATAATGGATCTCGCCGCAACGCAATGTATAACCTCTCCCAGCCAAAGCTTGTTGGTTACCTCACCCATTTCCCGCCGGGTATCCTCGGCTAACCAAACCTTCCTCTTCAAAGCACAGCATGTCACCATTGACTCATGACCAAAAAAAGTAAAACGCAATCATTCGACAAAACGGAGTTCCTGGTGCACTCGTCACGACTAACAAGGGTTTGGTCGTTTTGATTACAATCTCCGTATTTGTTTGCTACCGCTACCTCCTCCGGTTCTCCAAAAACGTCCAGGGAATCGAGATGACGGCTCAAACATGGTCGGCATCCCAACACCTGGAACAAACGAATTGGGCTCGTCACACCGAAGGCGCGTTAACATGGAGAGGCACGGGGAAACTTTCGCGGCGACATCTCGTCACCTTAAGAACATGGCGATCGTTTTTCGGACCACCTTCCGGGTCTTCTCATTCAAAGAAGGGTCGATCAAGACCCTGGCACCGGAGGCGGGTGTGAAGGGCACCCCGACCAAAAGCTTCGGATAGTACGGCAAGCCCGCCCGCTGGGATGCATCCGCCCAGCTCTGGGACGAAAAAATTGTCAGAGGGGGGGGGGGGGGGGGGGGGGGGGGG